CCACAGAAGCTTTAACATCTTTCTGTAGCGTAAACGATGAGTCAGGGTAACAAAGCTGTACTCTTTGAAATAATGCTGAAGACAGAAGGAAAACTCATGGTGAATGAAGTGGCTTGAAACAAAATTAAGCAAAACCAGTGACAAGTTTTCTGCAAGTTTCTGCGTGTTTCATGTTGTGCTTATTTGCTGGTTCTTATTCTTAAAATAATTTTACGAGTTACTTGAACACAGTATTACTTGGAAAGCAATAAGAAATAGTGTTGGGAAAGAAGTATTTTCCTTATACAGAGATCCTGTGTAGCTGTTGATTTCACTGGTTTACTCCTTACAGTATTCTCTAATTGATGTGACCTGCTAGTCAGGAGCAAAAAATCTCAAACCCATAATGTTTCAACTTTTTAATTATGGGCAAAAAAGGTCATCCTGGAGATTCTGGTTCAGCCTCTCACCCTGAGACAAAAAAGATTTTCTCATCTTGCATTTCTTATGGGTATTGGATGAAGAACAGGAATGTCTCCATTTTGAACTCCTTCTGCTTAAAAACTGCATATTGTTTTGCCTTGCAGTAGGACTTATATTTGACTACAGTTTCCCTTTTTTGCACCATTTATATAAGAATAAAATGAAACAGAGAGACAGAACTCTTTAAGAAACTGATTCTGCACAACTGTCACTGTGAACTTAACTTACGCCCAGCCTAAAATGGACATAAGTGTCTGGATAAAAGTGAGTTCTGGCAGCTAGCAGTGTTGACCCAGTGCCTGCTGGAAACAGATACTGGGAATTTTAGTTCTCCAGTCACCCACTACTGCTGATCACAGGTTGTGGTGTCAAGTTTTCTTGATTTCAGGTGCAGATTTAAGGTTGCTGATATAGCATCTTGGGTGATGTTTGATGTATTTAAAATAAAACTCTAACTCGGAACAGTAGACACTCCTAGGAATTCATTATGTCCAGTTGTGAATAGATAACCTGGATTAAAAAATGACCACTTATAAAAGTCCATGTATCTTAATGCTGTAATAAGCATATCAGTGAAGGGTTGGACTTTCTCATTTTGGCAAGTAGCAAAAAAAGACTTTGAAATAGCTGAACTGTGATTTATTCCTTGGTCAGACTTCCAGGTCTTACTCAGATCACCTCTCTGAAGGGTTTGGTATTTACTCTGGTATTGGTGCCAGGCACTGTTCAGGCTCTGTCTGTCAAGGGGTGGCAACCTAACTCATACACCATCGACAGAGAAGCAGGTGCAGGACTCAGGATGTCTCACAGTTGGGCTTTATGCCCCTGTCCTATAAGTATATAAAACTTTTTATCTTTCCTTTTTGCTTTTCTTCAGCTGAAAATACTTGTTATCAGTGAAACAGTTAACATTTTGTGTGCAAGAGTGCTATTTCTAACCTACATTTCTGCAGTTCTGACCTACAGTTCTGGTTTGGCGTGCCTATATGAAAGAAATGGTTTGAATTCAACTATTCAGAAGTATTTCAGGATGTTTATTGTTATTTAGATATATTTAGTTTGCATAGTTCAAATTGTATTGCCTTTAACTGGTAAACATTAGAGTAGATGCTAGAAACTTCTCTATCCTGAAGTTGGTTCGCAGTCTAGTTAGAAGAAAGAAGTGGTTTATATAGCAGTAATTAATTTGTTAACTTGGGAGGTTATGCTAACTTTATAGATAACTGCTTCTCTTTATATAATCCCTATAATGCAGTATGAGCAAATGGTTACTGATGGTGTACAATGTTGTGATGATTCATTTAATTTTCTCCAATTATTTCTCAAGAAAAAAAATAGGAAAATAGGAAACAGGTATTGTCTCTACCTGATTGCAGGTGAGCCCTGCTGGGCTTTGAAGCTCAGCATTCACTGAAGCAGGCGGGGCTGAAATTCATTCTGATGCTGGGCAGATTGCTTTCTGGTTAACGCAGCAGTAGCATATACATTTACATTTCACTGCCTGTCTTCCTGCCTTGAAGCTTAAAGTTTACAGAATGCAGAGACGACTGAAATTGAAATTGCTATTCTGGTTTCCTTCTGGAACTGCTTGTGACTTTTCTGTTATTTTTAATAATGGAATGATAAGATTTTTTTGACACATACTGTTACGTCTTTCCTTCAAGACAGCTGCAGTCCTTCTTGCGCAAACTGCCTTACCAGCAATCCCTATGATTGCCAGGCTGGCAAGAAGAAAGTGGCATGTGTAAAGTGTTGCAGGGATTTTTTTCTCTTTTTCTCTCTCTGCTAGAATCTTAAAAATCCATGGAGTATATGTAGACATCTCTTTTTCTCCATCCCCACCCCCCAGTAAATGTACTGTGTTTTCATGGTTTCCACCTGAATAGAAAAAAAATATTTCACTCTTTAAGATTTTTAGGTTGGAATGGTAAAACTAAGGAATTTATAATAATAAATTACAGAAGCAGCACTAAAAGGGTTTCCAAATATGAGCTGAAATCAAACAGTGGAATCTAAATTACAAAAAGTAAAACTACTGTGTGGAGCATTAGAACCAGGAATGGCTGGAGAAAGAAGTGTTCTGCAACCTTAGCTAGAGCTGGGGTAAAAAGGATGAGTTAAACAAGAAAACCCCAAACCAAAACCCCTAGAGCTCCTGTGAACTGCGTCAGTCTTACAAATATGCATAAAAGTTCTGCTTAGAACTGTATGGAAAGTGTGTTAGTGTTTTCATTTTGAGGGTCATACTTATATTCTTTATGTCATGGATTGAGGCCTTCCCTGACTTGCATTTTCTTTTCTCTTCATGAGGTACACATTTCAGTCTCTGGACTAAATTTTGTTTTCTGCATATTTCACCATTATATGGGTGCAGGGCCAAATGGGAAGTGGTTTGGGTTTAGTTCTCATTCTTAGGCTTTTGTAAAATAAATTGTTACTTCTTACATTTTACGTTTTCATTATGACTGCATTTGTTTTCACAGCCTGAGGAAGAGCTTGATCCTGAAGAGAGGGACAACTTCCTCCAACAGCTTTACAAGTTTATGGAAGACAGAGGTAACAATTGCTGTATTTATTTATAATTTAATCTGTAGCCTACTTTAATGGCTTTTAAAATAGCTTTTAAATGTAATCGGTATTATTATGAGCATATTTGTCATGTCAGTGGAAAAGATAACAGCTAGTCTGGTGCAAGGAGAAACACTTCCACCTGTTTTCACATGTGGCAGGTCTACTTCTAGTACTTTGAAGCACAGCACACAGAGGAAACATAAATCCCTCTAGAGGTGTTTTGTTTTTCTTGGCTTTCACAAAACCTTTTTAATGCTAACAATCCCTGTTAAATAGGCTCTTGGTTGATTGCTTGTTGTGACAGCCATGGCTGGGAACTTTGCTGCTGTTAATCTGAGGCTGGAACCTGAGGAGGCTGTTCATGGATGGTGGAATTCAGCCAGCAGGGAATGGGAGATATGTCATCTTAGTCTCCTTGCAGAACTGTCTCAGTCATATGCAGGTGTAGCAGTGATATTTGCCTGAGGAGACAACTTAAGAGATTGTTACTTTGTCCTGTAGCTAGAACAAGAAAATAGCATATTTTAAATATTGTTCTTTACAGAATTAGGTGAGACTGTACTGGAATAGTCCTGGTCTAAGGTATACACTGGAAGTGCATGCTCTGTGTATAGAGAGCAGGATATACCTGCTGACTGGGGAGAACTGTTGTTGCATAAACCATTCACATCTGAAGTTCTGATGAGGCTGACACTAAAATGGAATGTTTTCTGTGCCTTGCCTGCACAACTCCGCTGCTTAAAAAAAAAAAAGCCTGGAGTTTTATCTTCTACAGTATATTTGTTCTTTTTGCTTATGAACTTGCTATTACAATTTGAATACTGTGTTAATCCAGCAATAACACCGGTGCAGGTTGATTACAAGTGCAACTATTGCCTTTTTACTCTATTTTTCTTTCTTTTTCCTTGACAAAAGTTACCTGAATTATATTTTTGTAGTATAGTGCATATAGTACAGCAAATGTTGATGTACTTGAATTTGAAGTAACCAAAGCTAAGAGTAAAATGTAAAGTGCATGTAGTGCATAAATATTTTCCCCCACTCCTCCCCCAGTTTTCTTCTTGCATTTTAAAATCTGGGGGAGAAATCTAGTTACCTCTGTAAAGGAGGCTCTGCATCCCTATGAGCGAGGTGCGTTCTAGCCCACAAAATTGTAAAAGAACAGTTCCAAGTCTATTCACTATTGCCAGTTCTTATCACAGGTTTAGAAACTGATCTTGAAATATATATGAAAATATACTTGAGTTCATCCAATATAATTTTGAGGCCTCCTGTGTATAACCAGTGTTTCTTGGAGAATAACCTGCCTTGGGGGAGTAAGAGTCTATGTCAGGTTGGAAAAAAAATACTCCTGTGCTGCTGGACTAATCCACAGTTTTCTTTCTTGTAGCATGAATCTTCCCTCTTTTCTGTTTTCCTCCTTCCTCACTCCCTTTCTTAAGCAGTCTCAGACTATACACCACATAGGGATCATGTACAAGCATTTGTACACCAAATTTGAAGGCTCAGCCCAGACACTGTCATTTAAGCTAATATGTTGAGAGAGCAACGTACAGGACTTTTTCAGGACTGGGTCTTTCCCCCTGCCCGTGTACATTAATTTCTTTTCCTTTACACCCCCACCCCCCACCCCCCATAGGAAGATTTCTCCCAGGATTTGTTCTACATTCTGTTCTCTTTGTATGTATGTTTTGATTTGTGTGATCATGACAGTGTTCTCAGAGTCCTATAACATTATTTTAATGATTCCAAATATAATTGCATGAAGATGAGAAGCAGCAGGGTGTGAGGTTTGATATTCTTCCTTGCTGGGAGGAGTACTGTCTATGTACACAGCCACTTGCCCCAAGTCACTTTTGGTTTCTTGTTTTGCAGTTAATCATTGTTCTTTACATCATTGCCACTCATCTGATTTGAGTTTGTTTGTTTTTTGCCAGAGTGGTCCCAAATAGCCACATCCTGTTAGGGCTTTGTGCTTTTTCAAAGTCTGACAATTTGCTTGTGTATATCTTTTCCTAATGCAGCATTGCTGCTGCTTCCTCATTCCTTTCAGACCACAGTATTTTGAGTTAATCTCTTCACACATTGCTCTGTAACAGCGTTCATCAGGTGTTCTGCGGAGCTTGCTGCAATTCTGGCTGTCTACCTGTTCAGGAGAGGGACAGTGGGATGCAGCCAGTTTGATGGCACAAATCTGAAAGGAGGTCCAGAAATGACAGTTAGCAGGCAGCTGGTGCCAGTGTGCTAATCAACCACCCAGAAATACGTGATGCATTCAAAAGAAGGTGAAGCCTTAATTCCTGACTGGAAACTATGAACTTCTTGTGACTTTTATCTTGGAATTATTAAATACAGATTTTAAAATGCAGAAAGATATTGGTAATCAAATGTGTTCTAAAGGAATGGAAGAAGTGGTTTGTTGTTCTTTGTGGTAAATTTTTATTTCTGGTTTTGTTTTATTTAGGTACTCCTATCAATAAACCACCTGTTCTGGGCTACAAGGACCTTAATCTCTTCCAACTTTTTAGACTGGTATATCAGCAGGGTGGGTGTGACAATGTAAGTGTTGAACATTTCCTGAACTATGTATCTCTGTTCATTCTTAAGGGCTGTGGCTTGTGGCTGTGTTATATATCATTCCTTAATGTTCTCGGTTAAGAAAACCTGAAAACTTCATTTTTTTTCTTCCCTTTTTTTTTCCCCTCCCGAAGATTGAGAGTGGTGCTGTATGGAAGCAAATTTATATGGACCTTGGCATTCCTATTTTGAACTCGGCTGCTTCCTACAATGTAAAAACTGCTTATAGAAAGTAAGTTCTCATATTGTATGATGGTGAAAACAATTTTCCTGGGTGGTTTTTTTTTTTTGTTAGTAGCATGTGCAATATTCAAGCAATTTGTGATAGGTTAGTGAAACAGTAGTTGTCATTCTTCAGTTAACAGTTCTGAGCATTTTCCAGTACTGAGGATAAAAACAGTGGAGGACAGGAGTATGTGCTCAGGGCTGCATAAGTTCCTGTTGCTCTAATACATTAGTATTCTGCTAATTTCCTTATCAAGAAGCATTCACTTTCAGCATGTGATGATGTTATTTCAGGGTACAACAGTGAAATTATAAAAAAAAAAGCTTTGGCAAATTCAAATTTTGTAGATGCTGCATGCAAGGAGAATTTTATGCCAGTTTCTTTAGCTTCCTGAAAAACATTGATAGAGATAGATGTGTTTCAGACTGCATATTTAAATACCATCTTTGTGGAATCTGTAGAATAATGGCTTTAGGGCAATTTAGTTTACGTTGCTGTGGTGGATGTGACAGGATGAAGGAGTAAAATCACTGTTTGGAATGAGTAAATGCATAAATTCTTCTATTCTGACCCCTGGTTTTCAGTTGTGTTTTAACTTTTGAAATAGAAACCTTTTCTAAATAAAAAATATTTTTATTATTTATCCTCCTGGAAGTTTGACATGAAACAATTGGGCTTTTTGAGTAAAAGGGAGCAATGAGGTTCTCTTGAGTCGAACCTAAGGAAATTTGGCTGATTGAATAGGGATGACTAATAACTCATGTTAAAGTTGATGAAGATGAAAATATTCTGTCTGCAGTGTGATTTGAACAGGGCACGTATTTAAGGTCTGTATTCTAGAGAGAAGAATATCATAAAAAGAGTAATTGGCAAATATGTACTGGGTTGCTGTTATAGTAGAAATAATTATGTTGTATGAACACATGATAGTGTGTTGTAACTTACATATTTATTCCTTCAGGAATAAGCTAATTCCTGTTTCTCTCACCTATAACTGGATTAGAGTGTCCACACAGGCAGATACCAGAAAACAAGCTGATGCATGGCAGTTTGTTACCATGTGGTAACTTGTTTGTATGCCCATATTCTAATACTAGGCTGATTTTAGCTGTCATTATTCATTTGCAGAACAGTATACGTGTTCTTAGGCTTTACTGTCACAAACTCTCAATTGGATGGGGATGAAATTAAATTTGTGGGAAACACCTGTGTGGATTCTTTCTCACCATTTGATTTGTGTGTGTAATAGTTTCTTTTCAAAATCTCTGGCTTTTTGTTTATCTGGGCTTGAGTTGTTGTTGGTTTGTGTTTTGTTTTTTTTTTTTTTTTTTCTTGTTTTTTGTTGGGTTGCTTGGTTTTGTTGGGATTGTTCTGCCCTCCCCACTGTTAACCCCTTCCCCCCTCACCACCACCACCCCCCCCCCAGTTACTGCTTCTTTTGTTTTTCTCTGAGCAGGAAAATAGCTTTTATGCACTTCAGTAAATATAAATGAAACTTTATTTGCATATATAGGTATCTTTATGGTTTTGAAGAGTATTGCCGTTCTGCAAACATTCAGTTTAGGACCATCCATCACAATGAACAAAAAGTAGTAGAAGACATACAGAAACGTATGGAACCAATGGAGGAAAGTGCGAAGGAGGAACAAAAAATGTCCCCAACAGAAGTTAAAAAAGAAGCAGAAGAAAATTATTCCAGCAGTGAAAGTGAAAAAGAAGAACCAGAACTAAGATCCCCAAGGGTAAGTGGCTTGAATTGGTTTCTATTTAGTACTTAACAAAATACCTTTGTATAGTGAAAGGTTTACATAATGAGTTTTCCCTTGTGGAGTGATTATAGGTTTGAATTGGCATACTTGTACAGGCATAGGACAGGGTTCTGTGAACACAGAGTTGGTGTTAATGGTTAATTATGTTCTGCCTGTGAATAGATCAGTTTTGTTTATTTCTTCTACTCTAAGCCATCTGAGGGATTTGCTCAGACTGTGTTGAAGGTCAGACATGTTTCAATTCAGGGAGAGCTTGAAGAGCTGCTGAGGGCTGGATATGGTCAGAATATCAGCCTGTAAAACTCAGCAGGACAGTCTTGGTTGTGGGTGGGAATTTCTACAGGTACATGGAATATGGAGCTTTCCAGCAAGAAGCAAGAATATTAAGGGACTACTACAGCTTTAAGAATCAAAGGAAGACCCATTTCTCTGAGTTGGTTTTTATCACAGTATCTCTTTTTTTAATAAACACTACAATTTTACAGTATATAGGCAAAGTAGAGGGAGGAACACTTATATTTTGTCTTCCTTCATCCCTGAGTGCTGTAGAGGTGAGGGTGGTTAACAGTAGTTACATAGATAAGATCAGTGACCCATCAGATAGTGGATACTGAACCTGATGGAGAATACAAGAGTACTTTTGAGGTACTTGAATATGATGCTGTAGCACTCCTGTTAATTCTGTTAAAAGGACATTTTATGTTCTTTAACAGAGCATGATTGCTGAAGGACAGGAATTGCTACTTTTTAAATTGTTCAAATTGTAAGGATTCTGTTCAACTGAAGTGTAATTTGATTAAAGTACTTCTGGCAAACCAACTTTTCAAGCAGGTTTATGGCCTTTTAAATGAATAGATGAAAAGACAAATCTAAACTTGTATTTACACTATGTATTATGTTTTACATTTCTATCTAACTGCAAGTGGCTTTTCCAAGCTGTGTCAGCCTTAATGAACCTCTTGGCATAACATTAGTTTTGTTGTTAGCTTTTGCTGTTTGGGTTTTAGGGTGGGTTGTGGTTTTGTTGTTTTTTGTTTTTTGTTTTTTTTTTTAGGTGTTTTTTTTTTTTTCTGTGTGGTGTTTTTGTTTTTTTTAAAGGGGAAGAAAACTGGTGAGAGGATAAAGTAGAAGAATTTTTTTCCCTTTTTATCATTGGCAGGCTGTGTTAATTTGTTGCTAAAGAAATATTGGTCATGTATCTTATTACTTTATTAATCCAGTCACCAGCTATCTATTTATGAATTATTTTTCCAAAGTATTTGAAGTGTTTGTCATTATGTTACTGTGAATTTTAATTATCACAGTACCTCCATTACTGTTGTCTTTGGATGGCCTCCAGATAATTAATTTTGCATTCATAATGTATTTTAAATGTTCTTATTGCAAAGCAATGACCCTATCAAGAGACTTTCAATACCAAAATGACAATCCTCTACTAGATCCGCAAGAAGCAGTTGCAGATAGCTCCAGACAGCAATTGTAACAGTTCGCTGTCAGGAATGAAGATGCCTCTCAAGCATCATCAAGTCCTCTACAAGCACTTTAATGATATTGCCGTAGTTGAGCAAGGCATTTTGGCCCTTTCTATCAGGGCAACAGACCTTACAAATGTCCTGAAATCCTCTAGAAGGTAATCAGAAGTTCATCCTCTTTATTCTAAATGAAGCAGAATGACTTTATTTTGGAGTGATTTTGGTTTGGTTTTGTTTGTGGGGTGTTTTGTTTGTTTGCTTGTTGTTTTTTTTTGTTGGCTTTTTTGTTGGTTTTGGGGGCAGGAGGTGTTTGGGTTTGTTTTCTTTTGTTGTTTGGGTTTTTTTTGTTTGGTTTGTTGGTGTTTTTTTTATTGTTCCCTCCTCCCAGATAACAAGACTTCATGCTGTTATTTTAAGATTTTAGAGTATTTTGCTTTTTGCTGTTATCTCCAGCTTTTTTTCCATACAGGAATATTATTTCCCTCTTCACTGTGGTTTGGACTATACAGAGAACAGTTGACAAGAGTCATTAAACTGTTCTTATTTCTGTTCTAGGGACGAAGAAGACTTCCCCGTGATGCAACCCCAGCTAAAAAAGATAGTGAAGAGGATAAAACACAAGACAAATTAAAAGACAGTAACAAGGAAAATAAAGATATAGAGGAAATGCCTGAGAATGCAGAGAAGAAAGAAAATGAAACTTCACTAGGGAGAAAAAGTACACCAAAGCAAAAAGAGAAAAAAATTAAAAAACAGGAGGATTCTGACAAAGAGTCAGATGAAGAGGAAGAGAGGCAGAGGGAGAGGTAAACATTAACTTATGTCACCTTCTTATGCGTATGGCTGTCGTGACAGCCATACCTGAAGCAGGAGTATGCACAACTAAAATGTGGAAATTGGGGACCTATTCACTCATCAGCCAAGACAGGAAAGGGAAACTTTTATTTCAAGCTTGTAAATGTGCTGTACTTCATGGAAGCATCTTTTTCTGGTAGGCAGCAGACTCATTTTCTTGAAGGTCTTGCCAAGGATGTGTTAGTGTTTTGTCACAGTTGTATGTACAGACACAGAGTAGACCAGGCTGTGTCTGTCAAGTGCTGTATGGATGATGAGCAACAGTTTGGGCAGACTTGTCTGGGCAGTTGAAATGCAAATGGAAAAGAGAGACCCTCTTCTCCCATGCTTTTGTTAAAGTGTTTAATGATGGCTGGTGAACCTACAGGGTGCTTGTTTTTGTTACTTGATGTATTGTAGGCAGGCAAGCAGGGGATCAGCTAATAAGGAAAGGAAAAGGGAAGAGGGAGTTTGTATGGAACACTCAGGTAGGCTGAAGAGGAGAATGGAGAGACATGGAAGGGTAAAAGAAAAACAGCATCCACAGACTAAGCTTGACAAGTTGAATTGGATATATAGTCATGGTTACAAATGAGTGTGACCAGGTGAGTAATTCATTACCAGAGTAGACCTCTTAGCTGACTTTGGCTGTGGTCAAGGGCAGTGTCTTACCAGCTTAAACTGGCTTTCCTACCTTGTTTTTCTTGTCCTTGTGGCTAAGTGGTTTGGACACAAGTTACTGCTGAATGAAGCCTGATACAGGTATTGTGTGTTTTCTTCTAAAGAGCTTTGAGGAGTAGGAGAAACACATGGTTATTTTAAAGAAAGTGTCTCTATACAGTCCAAAAAAGATAATCTTGCAGTGTCCCATAGCATGTGGAAATGCCTCAAGTGAAGGTGCAGTGTTTGGTGTGCAGGAGGTCACAGGAGGATGGATATCAGGTGACATGGGCACCAAAGAGTTTTTTCTTTAAGTGGTGTGGATGGTTCTGGTCCTCTTTCCTTTAATTATTTGCCACAGCAAAATAGTTGCTGTTGAAGGCTAATGAATATATTTCATCAAAAGCAAACCTATAGTCTTTTTCACTATTTTCTTTTTTGGTGACTTTTTTTGTAGATTAACTTTTACATTATGCTAAATTCACCCTAAAAAAAAGGAGAGAAGTATAGGTAAAAATAGGATAGATTGTGATTCTTGAAAGTATGTTTAGGTAGAATGTTTAAATATCAGATATAGCTATAATAAGAGGTAGATGTAGCTAATAAGAGGTGTGTAGACACTTTCAATCTTTGTTAAACACTGTTATAATCAACTTTTCTCATTGGAATAGTGGGGGGATCACTATGATGGCCATTCAAGCTAATGAACACTGTTAGTAAACTGTAGCCTATTAAGCAAACTGTAGGAGAGAGAATTTTTCTTTTTAAATAACATGCCAAAATCAGTTCTTCCTGTCTTACTTAGGACTCAAACACTGAGTTAACTTACACCTCTTTCTGCATTATCAAAATATTCATTTAAAAATACTTTAAGTTCAGAGGTAGTTGTACACATAATTGTGTACAAAAATTGTGTTTATATTATATTTTTTCTGGATATTTTTGGCACTTACTCCTGTTTTCTCAAAGTCCTATTCTTGATGTGAGAAGCTGTGTCCAAGCTAGCTTCAGAGGCAGTGCAGGACAGAGAAGATGGAAATATTTTTTCTTGTAGCCTTTTTCTTTTGTAGTAGCTTGGCTACCCCAGTTAAATGTTGAAACATTGTCTCTAATTAGTGGGCATTTTAAATACACTTTACTGCAGGGAGGAAATTGAGAACAAAGGAGAATCAGAAGGTGAAGAGGATGAGGAAGATGCAGAACCCTGCCTGACTGGAACCAAAGTGAAAGTAAAATATGGACGTGGAAAGACTCAAAAAATCTATGAAGCCAGTATTAAAAGCACAGAAATTGATGATGGAGAAGTTTTATATTTAGTTCACTACTATGGTTGGAATGTAAGGTGAGGATAACAATTGCCTTTCATTTCTTTTTTTGTTAAATGGATTATTTACAAAAGAATTTTTGTTCTAAGAACAAAAAGAGAAAGATGATCAGTGACTTGGCTCTGAATGGAACTATCAACATGGTAACAGGATCTGACTGTATTACACGTTTCAGTGTTAGTAATTTTGTTCATGGTATGACACTACAATATGGAAACGTACAAGGAGTATATTCTGAGATTTCAAAGTTTTCATCTGGCTTAAAGTGAGTAATCCTCACTCCTCACAGGAGCATCCCTGTAATTTACTGTGTCAGCTACTGTTAGCACTATTGGACTTTATTTATGGGAGTCATTGATGATGGTGAAGACCTCTACAATTAAGTGTAACAAGCACTGAAATTTTGGCAACACAATTTAATCTTGTATTGCATGTTAACTGTGATTATAAAGAATGGTTGTTACAAAGAGCTACAGAATCTTAAAATGCTTCTCTTGCCAGCCGTGCTTTATATTCAGCACTGCTGCAGAAATGGCTTTTTTGCTCTTGTTCTTAAGAGCGTTGTTTAGTATGTAGACAAAAATATCACAAAATGAATTCTTGAAACTAGAACATTTCTGGTATATAACTTGAGATGTTCCAAATCCATACATTTCTAATTAAACTAAGCAGGTTTCTTTATGTGGCAACACAAAGTTTATGTGTGTGGGGATATAATTACACGTGTCCTTTTACCTTTTTAGTAACTCAGGAGATTCTAAGGAGAACTAGCAGTGTATTTGTGCTTTTCAGAATCTCATGCAGTTTGTTGCTATAATTTAAAAATTTTACCTTAAAAAATAAAAAAAAAAGAAAAACCAAGAAAAACCAAAATGACATTTTACTATTGTGGTGAAAACTGCTTTTTGTATATGATGTGAAATAATTGACAAAACTATAGCTGATGCAGTCCCCTGGGTTTCAGTGCTTTGCTAGCAAGAGACAGGGAAGTTTGCGTCTCCATTCCCCCATCCCATAAGTCTTTTGTGGGCTAGAAGCGCAATTCATCTTTGTAATGCCAGATACCGCGTGCATTTGTAAATATATTCTCTACTTTCCTCACTCTCTTTAATAAGTATTTTCTGTAACTCAGTCTTTTTAATCCCCATATTGCAAACGAATTTTTATTATTTAGTGATAATAACAGTATGTTGTTTCTCACTTTTAGATACGATGAATGGGTGAAAGCTGATCGCATTATCTGGCCTGTGGACAAAGGAGGACCAAAGAGAAAACAGAAGAAAAAAACAAAAGTAATAGTTATTTCAATAATATTTTTTTGTAGTACAATGCTTAATGACTATCACAGTTCCTTATTTTTCAAAAAAGTTACTCAGTCCACAAACTATTTTTTTAATAGAAGTGTAGAGCAAAAGGTTTTGATGATCAGCAGTGAAACGTTAATAAACATTCATTGTATTCCCCTCAGAATAAAGAAGACAGTGAGAAGGATGAGAAGAAGGATGAGGAGAAACAAAAATCAAAGCGTGGGCGACCCCCTCTGAAATCTACTCTTCCATCCAACACGTCCTGCAGTTTATCCAAAACGCCTACTAGTGAAGGTAAATCAGGAGCCAGAAGTGCACGGAACAACTTGTCAGATTCCTCACCATTACCAAATGGAACAGAAGGTACATCTGGTGCACTCATGTTCTGGCATGGAAGTGCATGTAAAGAGTGATGTCATGCGCTGCATTAATATGACCACTTCAGAGAACACAGTGCTGTCAGCAGGTTTAAAGTCCTACTTATCCAATCAGTGTACAAGCAAGAGAACGGAAAAAAATTTTGGCGCAGGTTTTGCTCTATAAAAATGAACACTTTTGATTTTTAGCAACACCTCACAGGCAGATGAGACGTAGCCCAGGAATGTTTGATTCTGGTGGAGACTCAAACAGTGAGTGCTTAGGCTTTTGAGGTTTTTCAGTACTTTTTTGAAGAGAAGTTTGATTTTTAACTTTTTGTTCATCCCTGTGAATTTTATTGAGGAAATAGTTGAGCTGACACTGCTGAGGAGTAGTGAGTTTGCTCACTGAAGAGCTATGGCATGGAAATGACTGTGCAAGTAATTCCATATTCTTTAGTCAGAGCCTTTCAGTCCTAATCATGAGCAGACCAACTCTAGTAGTATAATGATAGTCTTCATTGTGGTATTTAAGTCTTCAACCCCAGTACTAAATCATGCACCCTAAGTTGTTAATTATATACAAAAGACAGCAATATTTTTGGTATTTCTAAGTCTCTGTGAAAAAGAACTGAAGTGAAACCACTGTCTGCTTTCAGCACAGATCCCTGAATAATCCGGTAATGTAAATATGCTTGCTCTGCATATGGTGCATACAATAGATTTGTACAATAGTTAATGATGAAATGTCCATATTGTGGTGTAGAAGGGTTTGTTTTTTTACTGTTTGGGGGCGCATGGAGGGGAGAAGTGTTGGGTTTTTTGCTTTGTAATGTCAGGTGGGGCAGGCGGTTTCCACAGAGAGATAGCAGATTATGGGAATGTGTTTTTTCTACTATAAACTGTAATTTGTTTATACCAGCTTGTCTGGGGAAAATAACAGAAGAACCACCAAATACCTCAAGCTGGAAGGGACTCATAATCAAGTCCAACTCCCTGCTCCTTGCAGGACTACCTAAAACTAAGACTAAGAGTGTCATCCAAATGCATCTGGAACACAGATAGCACCACTACTATTTGCAGTTTCATAGAAATTTTGAGTAAAAATAAGAACTGTAATAAGTGCATTGAATTGTGCAGGGCTTTGAAATTGTGTATTCTAAACTGATGTGAATGTGGAAGAAAGTTTTTGTGTGGTTGAAAAAGGAAATTGTGTTGTAATTGATGATTTAAGGTGCTGTTTCCTTCTTTTTTCAAATTTGTAGACTCTGGCTCTTCTGACAGTGAAGCAGATGAATCATCTGAAAAGAATTTGAATGAAGAATTTTCTCCAGAAACTTCAGAACTGGATAAAAGTGAAAAGCTACATGATGAGAAGCTAGATGAAGAAAACCCAAAGATTCCTCATGCACTGAAAGAAAATGACAGGACTCAAGTACAGCCACTAGAAACACTGAAACTGGAAGTTGAAGAAAGTGAACAAATTGTTCAGACTTTTGGAAATAAAACAGAACAAACAGAAGAAATCAAAAGAGAGGCTGAAAAATCACCTAAAAGTAAAGGGAGAAGGAGCAAGACAAAAGATCTGTCTTTAGAGAATGCCAAGATTTCACCAGGAAGTCAAGAAGAGGTTGCAAATGAATCTCTTGCAGAACCTGAAAGATTAGACATGTCTTCCTTGGACTGTAAAGAAATTTCCAGCACTACTGAAAGTGAAGTGGAACCTTCTACAAAAGATAAGAAGCTTTTGAAAAGGAAAACTTTAGAACAGGCATCGCCTGAAAAGAGAAATCGACGACAGAGTGAGATGGAAGTGCCAAATATTGTATCTGAAGAGAGGACCAATGAATGTACTGGAGCAGAAGAATGTAGAGGGCTGAATGCTGAAGAGTCCCTCAGAACGGAGAATGAGGAAATGCCATCCCTGGTGGCAGAGTCGGTTCAGCACACTCACGAGCTGAGAAATGAGATCTCTCAACGTCCTTCTGAAGAAAATGAGAATGTTCCCTTAAAAGATGAGGATGATGCAATGCCTCAGATTGGTCCTGAAACACTGCTGTGCCATGAAGTAGACTTGGATGACTTGGATGAAAAGGAGAAGAGCAGTAGTGAAGACATCATATCAGAAAAGCCAGATCCTAATGCTTCAAATCCCAATCTGTCTGCCTTACCCGCTGCCATCCAGTCGAGCTTTTCAGTGATCTCGCCTCTTACGCTTAGCCAGGATGAATCACGTAGTATCAAGAGCGAAAGTGACATGACGATTGAAGTCGACAGTGTGGTGGAAGAGTCTCAAGAAGGTCTCTGTGAAAGTGAGTCTGCTAATGGATTTGAAGCCAGTACTACATCAAGCACTTGTAGTCTATCTGTGCAAGAAAGAGAGATTGGAGAGAAAGGTGAGCATTCCTGTCAACAGTGATTTCCGAAGTCATTTTAAGTCTGGTTTTACTAAAAGTTGGCTGTTTGTTTTGTCTTCTGGTTTTAAATTTATTTGTTGCTTATACGAAAAGAGCTTGCAAGTAGCAGAGATATTTGAGGTGTCTTGTCTTCCTTTATTTTCTCATTTAGGTCAAAAAAGACCCAGTGATAGCAATAGTGGAACACTGGCAAAAAAACAAAAGCGTACCCCAAAGCGAACAAGTGCTGCAGCCAAAAATGAAAAGAATGGAACAGGTACATTTGAGGGCGGGAGGTTATGCTGCCCTATCAACATGCATAAGGGCACACTGTTCTCACTGTTACCCATTATTTCTATTGGGTGGGGCTTCCTTGTCAGGGTTTTTAATTATTATTCATGATTATTCATTAATATTATTAAGGTGCATGATTATTGGCTGTTAACTGTACAGAACTTAGCAGCTCTGCAGTAGCAGTGTTCCTTGGAGATCTCTTGGTTATTTTTAATTACTTCTTAGGAGAAGCTTTTAATAACAACATATATTAGCAGCTACTAAGTATTACAATCATTTTTATATAGAATCATCAAATAGTTGGAAGGGACCTTCAAAGTTCATCTAGTCCACCCCCCTTGCATTGAGCAGTTACATCCTCAACTAGATCAGATAGCTCACATCTAGCCTGGTTTTGAATGTCTCCAGGAATGGTGACATCTGCCACCCCTCTGGGCAGCCTGTGCCAGTATTTTACCACCTTCATTCTAAACGATTTTTAACTCTCATCCATCCTGAATCTCACCTGTTCTAGTTTAAAACCATGACCCCATGTCTTGTCACATGAGGCCCTCTAAAAAAGTCTCTCTTTGTATTTCTTATAGGCACCTTTTAAGTACTGAAAGGGTGCAATAATTGGGTTGGTTATGAATTTGTGAGAGGAGATCTTGTTCTGAGTAGGAACATCTCCTTCAAAGTATTACAGTAGGTGTTTCTCATTGGGAAAAAAATGCACCTATGAAGTACAGAAAAAATGCTTGATGCTAAAGAATAACTTCTCATCAAAAGAAATCTTGCATGTGTTTATCTCAGTTATGTGACTTATTTTTTTAATTTACTATAGAGATTTTGATTTTTGCATTTCTGTACCGCATTTCTGTACCACATTTCTGCTGATGATTGTATTGAATGAGTCAATACATTTAGGCCCTGTGGCAGTATTGTTACAGTTTTTAAATATCAGACTGAAATCAGAATTCTGACATACAATATTGAGATATATGTGACATGCCTGTGTAAAACTTTGAAATTACTGTGGCAGTCTAAAATATTTGCATATATTAGCTTAAAATTTTCTGTTACATATTAAAGCATTTATGCTTTTAGTCATGTTTCAGAACTGTTCCTTTAGATGTGCAAAGCAATTTGGCAGACATATATAGTCGTGGGCTACCTACTTATATTAATACAGTTTTGATCTTTGAAAAGGGGATTCTAGTATTATAACACCAAAATATGTGACGTAAACATAGTTTATCAGTGCTCTAATATTCTTATTTTAATAAGCTGCTTTTTTACTTCTGTAAAACTTTAGATTATTGCTCTTTAACTAAGGGCCTGGTCAGCCCTTGCCTTCTCCTGCATTAAGGATTGATGCACTTGAGAGTTCAGTGCCTTTTGTGTCTTACAAGGTTATACATTCAATCTCATGGTTTTAACTTGTGTGCATTCTGGGATCTCCTAAGCCAGAAGGATCAGTTTTTTCTTAACCATTTTTTGAGACTATAACTACAGTTCTAAAATGCTAAGTTGTTCGTAAGGGTTCTTTTAAATCCAAGTACATTTCTCTTACTGCAGGACAAAGTAGTGACAGTGAAGACCTTTCTGTCCTAGACAGTTCAAGTAAATGTACTCCTGTAAAACACATAAATGTATCCAAACCACAGAAGATTTCCCGATCACCTGCAAGAGTCATTTCGCCTCACATCAAAGATGGAGAGAAGGATAAACACAGAGAAAAACACCACCACCAGAATGCTTCATCTAGAGTATACAAATGGAGTTTTCAGCTCAGTAAGAATTCTTTAACTTGATTAGAGAGAATTTGTACGAAAATTTGTTCTGAAATTAGTGTGGGGCTCCAAATTAGGTACAGGACTTTTATGGCCTGGTTATGGAAGTATGTTAAATTTTAAGCTGCGTTTTGTAGATCCTTAAGATTCATCATAGAATTCTAGAATAGTTTGGGTTGGAAGGGCCCTTAAAGACCATCTAGATCCAACCCCCCTGCGAAAGGCAGGGACACCTTTCACTAGACCCGGTTGTTTAAAGCCCCGTCCAACCTGGCTTTGAACGCTGCCAGGGATGGGGCAGCCACAGCTTCCCTGGTCAACCTGTTCCATTATCTCACCACTGTCACGGTAAAGAACTTCCTCCTTATATCTTTCTCCCCCTCTCTCAGTTTAAAGCCATTCCCCCTTGTCCTATCACTACTTGCTCACAAAAAGTCCCTTTCCTGGTTTCTTGTCAGCCCCTTTAAGCACTGTCAGGCTGCTATAAGGTCTGCTATCAGGATTGTATTAGTTTGTGTAAAATCACCTTGATGAAGCTGTTTTTTCTTCGCACTTTTAAGATGAACTAGACAATATGAGCAGCACTGAAAGGATCTCCTTCTTACAAGAAAAACTACAGGAAATACGAAAATACTACATGTCCTTGAAGTCAGAAGTAGCAACCATAGACAGGAGAAGAAAACGATTAAAAAAGAAGGACAGAGAAGGTAACTTTTAGATTTGCTTTGTGATTCCCATGAGGAGTTACTTCTCTTGAAAATATAACTCAAAGCAACTTGAGTTTAATTGGGAATATCTTTTGGGGAAAAAAAAGTCATCATCCGTTTGCATATATGTTTAGAAAATATTTATGGCTCTTCAGAACTTGACCCTAAGAAACATTCCCTGATTATTTTATAACAGTTTATTAGAAACTTGGATTTCTTAGTGCAAGCTAGGTCTTAGTTTTCAATCCGTGTAATGACTCATCTGATTTATCTTTTCAGTTGACTGGTGATGCAGTAAGGGTATGGTTACTCATCCAATTTATGTGAATATAGCAATGAAAGCACTTGACAAAAAATCTGTATTGGTTTCCTGTGATCATGCTACTACTTTGAGATCTCTTAAACAACCTGCTAGGCAAAGAAACCTTCATTCTGATCTGTACTTTGATAACCTGATGCTGATCTGTTCTGTATATTCAGTGTCACATACAGGAGCATCCATGTCATCTGCTTCATCAGACACTGGAATGAGTCCATCATCATCTTCTCCTCCACAGAACGTGCTTGCTGTAGAATGCAGGTGATGCATGTTTCTCTGCCTTGCCAGCATCGTGCTGCCATGGACGTAAATCCTGAAATACAACCGCAGAAAGCACTCAACTGCTTTGACATTGCCAAGTATATTCTGTACACACTTCCACTGCTGGGACTGTACCCGTTCTTCCCTCCTACCCTCTTCTTTTGTTTAATTTACTGTTCAGAGAAATTAAGCTCATTGGTAATTGAAGGTTTGTAGGCACAATGTGACATGCTTGTCATTGTGTTTGGTTTTGTTTTGTTTTTATTAATGCAGAGAAAGGGCACTTATCAAATTTGAAAAGTTATATCCAATGAAGCATTCAGGTGTTCTAGGGAGCTCTTAGAAAAGCAAGTGCACCAAGCAGACATCAGAGTATTATCAAAAAGAATTGAGTAACTGCTGCACTTTTGCCAAGCTGTACGTTAACTCTTGGTGAGTAGTTCCTTTTTGTGGAAGCACTTGCTATACAGAACTGCCAAAGTACGTGTTCAGCAATGTGCCCAGTTTTAAAGGTGTAAATGGGACAAAATAAATTGTGAAAGGAAGTGTAGTTGACTGAAAACTACAGCTGTAATAAGTCTTCCACTTTTTATAGGATTTTTGAGCACACAATTATGCAAATATTTTAATGTTTATTAATGTTTACAGTGGAATTGTGAATAGGTTTTCAGTGGACTATCTTATCCCTTGACAAAAATATTTTGTCTTTTTTCTATGTAATTTCAGAGTTTTTATTTTGTTACAAAAGGACAAAAAATGAAATATATAACAACAGTGAAGTTATTTAACAAGATTTCTAAAGCTGAAATTTTTGTGTAAAATAAGGTATCTTGCAACTTGTTAAATATATTTATTCAGACATTGGATGTTGTATTTTTATGTATTTTTTAAAATATTAATAAAATTGGAAAAAAAAATCTAGGTTACTTCACTCTTTCGATAAAACATATGTATCAGTTACAGCTTTTAAGGATGTTTTATCCAGTAGCCATGCCTGTATTTCAGATGGGTCTGTCGATGTAGCCTCCACAACATAGATCTGTCTGCAGGCATCTGGGTAATACTATGACTTTATTTGGAAACTTTGGCAGTCCTAGTACTTAGGTTGTTTTGAGGAACAAAATTTATTGGGTTGCCCTTAAGATACTTTGTTGCAAGTTCTTATGTTTGCTGTACTGCCAAACAGATTTGCATCTCCCAAAGTTGAGATGCAACAATAAAGTAAAGCAACTGTGTATGCTTTGTCTGTGGATTGTCCCACAGACAGAAAGTTTGTAAATAACTCTTCCAAACCCGTGTATTTAAAAGTTTGCATATACATTATGTATAAAAGTGATTTTTTTATCAATTTTTTTATTCATGTTTGTACATTGAAAGGGGTTCTTAACCCCTTTTTCTGTGTTAAATATGCTGTAGAGTAATAACATAGATGCTCTAGACTGTATATCGGGATATTCTGGTTCACATGGCAGAAGGTCAGAACGAAACACTAGTGATGGCGTAGCATTACTAAAATTGATGTTTCTTGAAATTTCATTTTACAACATTTGTCAACTTGTGATTCCAATTCCTTCCATTTTCGCAGAAAATTAAAGAAAAAGTACTCTTGTAAATGCACTTTTTCTGTCTTTTCTTAAGCAAAGCAGAACTATTTCAATGTAAGATAAATATGGAGCTCTCTAGACAGCGTTAATAAAGGCCATGTTTTAAACATAGGCTTTATATTCTATTTTTATTTAAGTGATTGTTCTTGTAAATGTCTGGACTTACCTAAATAGGAAAATTAATCTCCACAAACTGTTGTAAAGACTTTTTTTCAGAGGTAACTTTTAATGTTAATTTTATAATAGCTATGAATAAAAAGCAGTGCACAGTTGAAAGGAAATAACATGGGTCACGTTTTCTCAGATTATCCTCCACATTTATCAGTTGCAGAAGTCAATTTTAAATTCAGTGAAATAACAGGATTAATTATATCTAGCCTCTGTCTGCAAACTGAGTGAGATCTTAGAGGCACATCCACTTGCTCAGCATGCACAGGTGGTGGATGCACTCTTGACCATCAGTACTTCGGCACAGATGTATATGCTGACTGCTTCTCCGTGCCCCTCAGGAATGTTTGAACTACTGCATGGAAGGCTGATGGTATGGTTCCATCAAACATGGAAACCATTCTAGCAGACAGTTACTCCTGGACATAGAGAACTCTCTTCCTCACTTCTTTCCACCTGCTTACTCACAGACAGATGGACAGACAGACACCCACACGCCCTACACCCCACCCCAGTAACATTTAACATTACTATTCTGGCAGAACACTAAACATGCAAGGAAAGGTGGACTTTCTGCCAAGCCACTGGCAAAGCCTCTAACATGTTACTGATTTCCTAGTTTTATCTTTCTGGCAAGAAGTGTATGAGTTAGCCAGATTATTCAGCAGATGTTTAAAGTAGTTTCTTATGACATGTAAAAGTACCATAGAGAAAGGAAGATTAACTATTCTGTACGGAAAGTGAAACTGACAGGAAACCCTAATCAGGTCTTGTAACTTTACTGTAATCCCCTTATTTCTGCTTTGCTGACATAAATTCCGAAGTGTCTTCCAGTCCCTTGAATGGAAGTTAATGCTGTTGAGGACACAGTAATTATGATTATACTGAATTGGGATTCTTTTTTGTAATAAGAGATTAGGTATCATGCTTGCAAGAGCAAGCAAAAATAAAACACCCTCTTGGCAGTCTTCATGCTGTTATCCTGCCTTCTATCTTTTACAGTTTTTCTCAAAATTATATTTCAAGTTTAGAAGGAAGAAAAAATACAAGGTTATGGGATCAAATGCTGTTGAAACTTAAAAAGAAGAGGGCTGCAAGAGAATTCTGGCTCCCCCTGCCTCCTGCAGTGGAGACAAAGATCAGATTTCTGGCAGATCTATTACTTTTTAATTAGCATATACCTGAAAATTGGAAAAAGCTTGAAACATTGGCATGCAAGGACATAAGGTAAGAAAAAGTTAATTTCCCTACTTGTTTTAGTTTTTCCTTTCCATAAAGCGTACCAGCTACATGTATACTACTGAGTTTCTTCTCTCTAATATGTAACACCCAGTTGAATCTCCGCTTGTTTCTGACTGCTCTATCAGATGAGAAATCTCTTACAACAGTTTGAACAGATCTGGCAGGAGAATGTCAGAACAGTAACAACAAGCCATTATTTCAACAGACGTTAAACAGATTTACAGTAGTAATTACCAGTGAAAGAAAAGCATAACAAGGGAAAATAAGTGTGTTTCTTCATGAAGCATAATGTATTTGACCTTCACAGGGATTGGCAGAGGCCTTTAGTTTGAAGGACAGTAGTAAAAAAGGGGATTAAATCACTTCTTCACTCTTTGTTAAGTTCTGCCTGAATCCAATGTTTTTTAAAAGTGCAGTATTAGAATAAACAAGGCAGAAATTTTTGACATGGATGCATATTCTCATTTTAAGGGTAGGGAGCCACATAGTAATGGCTACCAAAATTACCCAGGATGGCTTTGATGGGGAGCTGGAAAAAGAATCTGAATCTAAGGACCGTCAATTCCCAGGTCTCAGTCAGACTATTCACTCGAGAGGCTTCTCTCTCTGGTTTACTGACCAGATGGAATGCCACATTTTAAAAAAAAATGAATGTTCTTATAAAAGGTTCCTCTTTACCCCATTAAAAATATTCTTGGACAGCTGAGGCAGCCAAATGGGATTTCTGGATAGCATTTACTGGAATTCTTTAACAACAGTAGTGCTTAGACTTAGTGCTGTTTTCTTAAGAGCATGTTTGGTTTGATTGTTTGAAATAAATCTGACAGATGAGCCGGAAGACCGATTCATAAGCCAAAACAAAAGAAGATGAATCAGTTAACAAAAGTATCTCCAGCTGTTTACCTCGCCATGCCCTTGCATTTTGTGCATTAAAATCTTGGCTATTTTCACTTGTCTGTACTTGGGGTTTTATTATTTGCTACAGTGTGCAGGATAGACTACCTCTGGGGATGTAAGGCACGTAATAAAGCGGGGAACCAGTGGAGATGTTGCCAGAGACTGACTCACTGTAATTCCAGGGCTTAGGAAAAAGATATTTTGTAATTAACTCACACTTTCTATCAAGCTATTGCCTGCAAATTTTGAGAAGAATCTGTTATTCTACCAGATTATCTTCCACCGAATAGAATGATGATTTTTTTTAGAGATTTCTGGGAGAGTTTAGAAGTATTCACCTGTGTTTTTTACTTGTTTCGGAAATTTGTGAGTTCCCCAGATTACATGAGCAGTTTTTAGTCTCATGCCCTGCTTTGGAGTAATATATATAAATTCAGTTTCTCATGTTGCAGTGTTACTGGTCTGAATATGTGTTTGTTTCAATGCAGTTGCATGGTGGGTTTTGTGATTAGTTGCAACCCAAATACTCACTGCATTGCCATTTTAAGAAAACTGAAAAGATAAGACAATCTTAACTGTGAAAACAGCTGTTTCTCAGCCTTTCTAAGAATAGGCCTTTCCTGGGTTCCTCTTTGTTTTGAATTACCTCAGCACTATTTATGTTACTATTCCTGCTTCCCATTTTCAGAGAAATCCTTTCTGTTTCAGAGCAGGGCTGTGCTGGTTGGTTCTGCTTCAGGTCTGCAACTACCTGCTATTTATATTAGTAACCTTATGCTGTTGCTAATGCTACACCAATAGTTTTCGAACGTGAAAAAGCGTCTCTTTACGACATTTAATTCACTAGTACAGCTCACTTGTGATGAATAGAACCACAGAAGTATTGCAAGGCTCACCTCCTCTGTGTTTCATTGCTTAACAGCAAAGAAAATCAGCACTAGAGCTCCATTACAGCTGTGAAAACTTGCAGGTTGTTTATCAGTAGTGTTTGCTTAACTCTCACTCTGAGCCTTGTTGGTGAGGGGCAAGGTTATGTACTGCTGGCAAAGCCTCTCCCTTTCCCTGCAGAATAACCGAAGAACATTTTCCATTCCAGACCTGTCAGTGTCTTCAGCTATTTCTAAACTACTCCTCCACTAATCCTTCATCTGGGTACAGTCTGACCTAATTTGCCATGATCCTGCCAGCTATGTGTTTCGTAAGCAGAGGTAAGATGTGGAATTTGTATGAAAGACTTCGTTTTCTTGCACAAGGGTGGACTGGATTGTAAACAAGCCACTTGTTCACGTGTATGTGCAGCTTCAAGCTCTGTCTCTTGATGCTCATTTATTTCCTGAAAACTACTCTTAGGAATGGGTATGGTTTAAAGTAATTTAAAAAGGAAAAGAAGGAAAAACCCCAACCCCTTAATTTCTCCTGCTTACTCTCTGCTTCCCACCCTCTGTGTGGTGATCCTGTGCCATCCCAGCAGCTTCTCAATGGTGTCTCGCTTTTTGCAGTCCAGTCCTCGATTGCCTGCGCTGCCCTGGGTCTCTTGGCACTGTCGGTTTTGACATGTTTCCCTCTCTCGATTTCTGTTTAAGGCCCTGTCACGCCGGTGGCTCCAGCTCTGCCGCCTTCCCACAGGTAAGCGGCCCCCCACCGGCCATGGCCGCCACCCGGTCACCTTTCTCACCTGCCGCCAGCCGCAACCTTTCGCTTCCCTCTGAGACATCTTCCTGCATACCCCGAAGGCAATAGAACCCTGTAAGGACCCTGTGGGGTTTGTTTTGTTTCTTTCCTCCGCACACACTGGCTGCAGGACGCTCTGCTCACGCCTGAGGGGTGTTACAGAGGGCTCGCCGCCGCCGCAGTGGGCCCTGCTCAGGCCGCGTTTCAAGGCGCGGCAGTTCAAAGGAGGCAGTGGCCACACGGCCCTGACGGGGGGGGGGGGGAGGAAGAACCCTCCGCCATCGCGCTGCGCCCAGCCCGAGCCAGCGCGCTCCCGTCTGAGGAGAAGGGGTGGCCGGCGGGCGGGCTCCCCGCGAAGGGCTGGGCGGGCTGTAGGCCCCGGGGGAGGAGGTGCAGGACCGCCGTCCCCAGGAGACCCGTGTCTCCCGTGGCCGAGAGGCACTTTGGGCCCAAGATCTAAGCAGCCCCCACAGTACAGACACGCAGCAGGGGCGGCCAACAACTCCCTTCCTACCGATGAGGTGATTAGAGCATGTCTTGCTGCACAGGACGAGCCCTGGTCCATTCAAGTAGTCTGTAAGTGTAACCTTTCTTTATGTTTTTTTTTTTTTTTTAAGTGATTTAGAGTCTTTCAGTTGCATCTGTTTGTGTACCTGAGAAGTCCTGGGAGAAGAGACGTCATCATTCTACAGTCCTGAATTGCTAAAGCTTGACTGTTGAACAATCCCTGTTGTGTTTACAGGAAGAGCACCAAAACGCTGAAGCACCAAGTTAAGGTAAAATATAATTAAAAATAACAAAACCCAAACAACATAGTAATCTAGTATTTAGAAGAGTTGTAACTTTGAGTTCATTTAATGTTGTCATCTTAAAACTCAAGGTGCAAGCAGGATGCATATTTAGGTGTTGCAAGCTCTCAGTGTTTTTGGGGGTTTTAGAGTTTAGGCCAGAGTCATAGAAAAAATTTTGGAGCTGAGCTTAATGGACTTCCCAAGATTAGAACAGGATCCCACAAATGCTGTGTGCTGATTTCCTAGCCTGGCTAAGAAAAACAGCTGTTGCTTAGACTCTGGTTTTCAAGAATTAGGTATTTAAGAGAGCAGAGGAAAGCCGGGTTGCACTGAAGTCATAACCATAATTTATCTCCAGGCATTAGGTGTGTAACCCACACCTCACTTACAGAAGATTGTAGTCAAATACATTCCTTGTCTTCCAGCAGAGAGCTCAGTAGTTGAAGCTCAACAGCAGGTTACAGAAATTAGGACTTTGCTTCTGGTCCTTGAGAGAATTCAGGGAACCTCTATTACAATTTTCCAGATGTTTGATTCTATTATTCTACCAGTACCACTGATGTACAGGGCATTCTGGAGCAAGCCTCTCATTTGACCCTTGTCGTTGAAATAGTTTTATTTTGTGTGGGCTGATTAGCAATTGCATATTTTCCTAGCCTTCTCATTCAGACATTTCAGAAGGAAGGGTCTGTGTTTCTGTCTCTGCTGCAATGAACATCACCTCCACATGAACATTTGCTCACTAGCTCACCTTCCATCAAGCTAGGTTTTGGAGGCTGTGCTCCTATTGCCTTCTCTGCCCTCCCACCTCCACTCCGTCTTATTTTTTTTCACAGCTTTCTCAGAATTCCTTCCTCAGCAGCACTCCAGTTTTCATCCTTTGCTGCTCTTTCAATCAGAATTGGTTCCATTCCTGCCCCTAACCTAACATGTCCCATCAAGGTGATTCACCTACTCTCCTCGCTCCTCATAAATACCGTATCCAGAGACTAAGCTGTATCCTCATTTTTATTCTGATTTTGGCTGTGTATTTCATTATGCCTTGGAAACTTGAAGCTGTTCAAAGACAGGGATGGAGAACACTCCAGATTAAGCTATGTCATGGAGGTCAGAATACTCTTCCAGGGCAGAAAACACATAGCCTGGCCTGCCTTTGTAGACACTTCCAGCCTTCACATGACTGTCCCAGCCTTCACAGATGTCCATCCAGGTGCTGTAGAAATACTAATTCTTGCATTTGCAGTTAAATATTTGTGAGAATTGGGTGCTGGGAGATCTTGCTCCAAGGAGGAATGACCAGCTGCAACGCTGTGAGAATACACACTGACAAAGCACTTGAGAGGCACTGAAACACTGTGTCATGAACTATTCTCAACTCACAAATTCTCTTAAAATCTTATGTGGTGCAGTTTTCTAAATAACCTGATCTGAGCCTGCCATCAGGATGTGCTGACTCATCAAGGAAGCAAAGGGAAGTCAAACTTCAGCAAAGCAATTTAACCTTTAAGAAACCATTAAGAAAGTTTTCACTGCTGCTTTCTGCGTCACATGGATGCTTTAGTTACGTGGATGCGCTCTGTTTCCAAGCTAAGAGTATATTTGTATCATCTTTCTTCAATAATGTGGACTGAAAGGTAGGGAAAGATAACAGTATTTTGGGAGTGAATTAGACTAGGACAAAATTGGTTATCCTAAAAAGCATGTATTTCTGTGCAGCAATATTGCAACTTGTTTTCCACTCTAATTACAGACACATCTGTAAGCAAACTACAGTCGCTATAAGAAAATTGCTTCTGTGGAAGTCAAGAATTTTTGTCTGGCCAGCTTCTTATCAAGGTAGCAGCTGTCAACCCAATGGTTATGCTTCCAGTGATACTTTTAATAGAATAGAATCAACTAGGTTGGAAAAGACCTTTAAGATTATCAGGTCCAAACATTACCCCAGGACTGCCAGCTCCACCCCAAACCATGTCACTGAGGGCCTCATCTACACGGTTTTTGAACACTTCCAGGGATGGCGATTCAACCACTGCCTTAGACAGCCTATTCCAATGCCTGAGCACCCTCTCCATAAAGAAATTTTTCCTAATAGCCAATCTAAACCTCCACTGGCACAGTCTGAGGCTGTTACCTCATCCTGTCACTTGTTACTTGGGAAAAGATATCAGCTACCTCCTGGCTCCATTTTTCAGGTAGTTGTAGAGAGGGGTTTTCTGAGCAACTGTTCTCTTTGCACTCTGAAGTACAACAGAAAATAATTCCAATCATGTATTATTTTCCAATGTTTAGCAAAAAGACTGCTTTAAAGAAAGCCTTAAATCTTTACTATGGATATATTATTTGTAATTGACCATAACAGTGGTGGCCATAACGATGTTAGCAAGCAATCTAGACATTATTAGCCTGTTACTCTTTTGAGACCACAACATCAGAGACTTGCTGCCTTATTTTGGCTCTTTTTTAGCCTTTACTATTTTAGAGTAAGCTCTTAGCCATCTCTGAGGTAACAAGGCATGGGCTACATAGGAAAAAGCTGCAATATGGCTAGTAGAAAACATATGTAAATGAGACTGCAGGAACATACTTGTTTCTTCCACCTTTGAAAAAAGACACATGAACAGATTTCTGTGGAGAGCTGTGGCAGCTTTAAACAGCAGCAAACAGAACAGCATCCAGTGCAAGCAGCAGGTGTACTGTGCTGCTGTCAGGCCTAGTAATCCACAGCCTGGAGAGCTGAGAGCTGTAGTAGTAAAGACAAAAACCCTCCAATCTAAAAAAATAAACAACTGAAAACAGGCAGAAAATCATTATTTCAAAGTGCTGCTGGAAATAAAAAACTACAGGGAAGGTAATGACAAAAAAGCATATGGGCAGTGTGGTAATCCTGATGTTCAGTTCCTTTTGTTGCTGCATTTGATTAGTTGTAAGTAAAATGTGCCTGTTAGCTATCATCTACTGTACTGACAGCGTGACTGCAGGATTTCAGCTGTCAGAATCCTTTCAACCAAAATCACATCAGAACAGGTGGTTTCCACAGACTTCTCTCTGTACTCACCCAACAGCAAAAGAAACATTGCTTTGTGCATACCTTATACTTCCTCTTGGCACTCTGACAATTAAAGGAGAAATTGGAATTGCACTCCAAGCTTAGTTGCTTGGAGTGCATCATGCTTGCCTCAGACAAGAGAGCTGAATTTGAAGGACCCGGGGGAAACAAGGAGCTGCCTTGGGCACAAGCACTGCTAATGATGCACTCACATCCCTTGTAAATGACATGGTGAAGCATGAGGCAAACATAACCTCAGGATAAGGTGGCAGAGCATCTCTGCCTACCTGAACCCCTTGGTTACAGCAGCCATCTGTTTATAACCACCCTTGCCTTGATACTCTCATCATCACCATTCTAGGAGAGTCAGAATGATCACAAAGCTCTGTGAGGATGGCTCAACAGAAATTCTTCCCAAATTAAGAGAAATTACACATTCACAAATCCCCAGCTGCTAAAACAAAGTAACTGATTCTGTTACCTAAGAGCAACTTAAACCAGCAATGAACAAACAGAACTCTGTAGTAGCTGAGGAATGAGACCACAGCCAACAAAACACTGCTTAAGCAGTGTCCTGAAAGCATATCTCTGGAAAGAACATACATACAAATGTATAGTTCCCATTCATTTTAATTAAATAAAAAAAAAGTGTATTTCCCATATTCCATTTATTTATCTGAATCAGTCCTAGCAGAAAGGAAGCATAACCCTCCCACCACCCTTGAAAGTTAAACATACCAGTCTGCAGGCCCTGGAGCAGTTTCTATCAGTAGTATTCCATTGTAGAGCGAAAAGAACCTCAGAAACAGACTCCATTGCCAGTCCACCATGACTAATTTCTTGTTTAACCTTCCATAGTTTCTACTGTCTGAACAGCACCTAGAACTGTGAGTTGCTGGACACACATCCTGACAGTAGAAAATCCAAAATGTGTTCTTGCCCAACAAACACTGACACTGCTTGTAAAGTCTGAACAGAGCGCTCTTATCTAACGAGGTGCACTAAGCAGTCCTGCTTTAGCTGCCAGAGCTTCATTCTGCTGGATGTGGTACTCCTGGAATCTCATGGAGATCCTTTGTGTCATTTTTAAGTACTTCTGTAGGCAGTGGTCTGAGCAAGTCATCTAGAGGAAGAGGGAAACAGAAGGCTTCAAACAGTAATTAAAACACTTCCTCTAACAGCACCCAAGATATGATCATATACAGTGATAAACAATGTGATGACTACATCTCATATTCTGTGTTAAGCTTCAAGGTGAGGGCCTAGTTGTGCACAGTGGAAAATGGGAAGTTTAGTTTTTAAGGGATGTCTGGAATATCTTTTAATATAAATATCCTTTAATATAAATTCTCATATGACGGTCTTCGTGGAAAGCATGAAGATCTAGGAGATACTACCATTTCTTCCTTGGACTCCTCTTGAGAAAGTATGTAAAGCATTTTATTTTGCAATAAATAATAAATCTATTAAATTAGTGTCTCTTTAAAGTTTTGTTTACAAGCACACATCTTTGACAGTCAGATGTTGTCTACTGTATGCTAGCTCAGTTTAACCTTTTCTAGTTCCTATTAGCTCTATCAGTCTTCTTGCACCTCCTTGGTTAACCTGCACAAAAGCAACCAGAGTACCCTCAAGTTCTCAGTCAGCTGGACAGGGAAATAAATACCTGGGCTTATTCCACCCATGGTAGCATATTTTAAATTTAGAGGTTTGGGGTAGGGGGGTTTAAGTGTAAAGAAAGATTTATGAGATGGTTTCTGAGCAACTGTTTTACCAATTGGATATTGTGCATTGTGGTTCTAAGCGTTTACTATCACTGTAAAAGTTAGCAAATTTAGATAGAAAGACACCAAATTTGCTTGATTACTAGAAAATCTGAAACTGCTTTGATTTTGCTTAGCATGGAGGGATGTGAAAAGCAGAGGGGCTAAAAATGATCAAGAAAAAACATTGCAGCTTTGCATACCACCTGTCCTTCTCTCTCCTTGACCTAGCATCAGCTATGGCAAAACCTGTTGAGCAGGAGCCAAGTTCCACTAGGAATCAAATTCTGGAACTACCCCAAGCCACTGCTCCCAGAGAGTGTGGTATTTGCGATATGGTGCCTGGGGAAGTCTAGACTTGCAGTGCAGTCTTGCTGTAGGGAAAAAGGTCAGAAGCTGTTGTTTCAAATGGAGACTCTCAAAGGAGATTCATGGAGGTATTAAGATTAATTATATAATAAGAAACTACAACTTGGAAGAGAAACATAGGAATTTCCATGCAAGAACAGTCCAGTGGTGCATCTAGACCACTGTGTTTCCAGCAGGGGCCAGAGCCAGATGCTCTGCAAGAAACCCCCTAATGGATAATCACGGGCAAAACTTACTACCCATCAGAGAGATTCTTCCTAGCCTTCAATGGCTCCTGTCCTACTGATGGCCCTTTGCAGACCACAGAAAGAAAGAAAGGAGAAAAAAAGAAAAAAGGAATCTAAAAGTATTTTGGGGGTCTAAAGCTTTAATTCCCCTCCAATGAGTGTTCATTTGCTTTGGATTTCAGGTCTTCAATGAAAGACTATATGAACTGCTACTTTTAAAGAAATTCTAGTAACACTTGGGTAGCAGAGAAAGTGCAGTCCCCTAACAGAAATCAAATACCATCCAGAAAGGTAAAGAGTTGTGCTGCCAACACCTCTGCCAGTTCTGTTAGCTGACACTCCTTGTATTGTTCAAGCAATTCAAAATGACTTGTTAAAAGATAGTACAAACCCTATCTAGAATAATTCTGACCTCCTACAGGTAATAAAAATTCTTTTAAAGCAGATGCAGAGAAGATCAGGGAAACAAGGAATCCATCTTGGGAAGGAAGGTAAGAGAGCTTTGCTTAGAGCAGCAGAACAAAAGCTGAAAGGAGACATAATTTTTACCTATGCTGAGGAGTTAAAGTCCAAGGAGGCAGAAAATGCTCAAAAACAATGGTTAGTTTAAAACTTCGGGTTGTTTATTTCTGCCAGCAGAGTCATGCAAAGTTTATTAGACTTTTAACCAACAAAATTATGAGCTTCTGAAACAGCCTCTCAACAGGAGAGGAGAGGTGAGGCAAAACCCATGCAACTAATGTAATCGAGAGCTTAATCTTTTTTGCAGATGTCTGTGATGTGATGGAGCTTCCTGCAATGCAGAAGTGGATTTCACAGCCAGAGCTCTGGAGACCTGCATTTCTGTGGCTCACTACAAAGCAGGGAACATAGACAGGTAAACAAGTATTTCAGTAGGATTCTACCTTCAAAGAATGGGATGCAGGCTGCAGGTAGGCAACTTCCATGTCCATAAAGATACCATCCATCAGAAGTTGAGGCACAAGAACCTCCACTGACAGCTCAAAGAATGAAATACACAGAATTGCAATAAGCAGCCAATATTCAAGTGAGATCAGGAAGACTCCCTTTGTGTACATACTGAAAAGACAATGACAAAACCTCAAGAGGTCCTACCCCATAATTTGTAGCTGATGATCTTAATACGTGAAAAGCACTTTACTTCGGTTGCTTGGTTGATTTCTCTTTGCAAACAGACTATTAGGGTGCAAAGAAGTATCTGGCATCCCCTTGGACATATCTGGAGAAGCAAAAACTACAGACAAGCTGTTTCTTTCACTAAGTTGCTTGCTACATTCCAGACACCTGTACTCCACTAAAGACTGCTACCTACCTTTTTAACTAGTTGAAAGATCAAAACTTCCTAAATTGCTTCTGAAACTCGAATGCTATACAGCAATTCTACCAAAGGGTCATTAAAAGCATATACCTACCTCTTCTGGTTTAACTTCTCTGCTAGTGAAATCTTTTATGCAATCCAGGAAGCAGTTTTCTGTAATTTTATTGTATGTTCCAAGAAACTCCTTGAACTATAAATAAAAATTGGACAATGAGTATTAAGAAAAATTTCTACATTAACTTTTTTTATGCACAGCTGCATGGGCCATTTTGTGACAGTAACATTTCAAGAATGAGTCAGTAGAAAAATTTACTATTAGTCAGAATATGTCAGCACCAAATACTGCTAGTATTTCAAATCAGATACTATACTGTGTTTATCAATGGCCCAAATGTTTAAATTTTGGTTGCTACAAAAAAAATTTTTGTCCTTCTCGATGCCCTACACCTTTTACTCTATGTGACAAAGTTACAGAAGATCTTCAAAGGCACCACTCATGAATACAGCATCTTACCTGCTTGATCTGATCAGCTTCCGAGATTTGTCCAGCCATATTCTACTGCTTGCAATTCAGTCACCTGTTCTGAAGATAAAAGTCAAGTTTCACGCAAAAATCATATATATGAACTGCAGCATTATACAACAGAATCAATTTTATGTCCTTGAATTGTGTTTAAATGCAGCTTTGCTAGAGAACTTTCAAGCCATCCAGTTGAAAGAAAGTTATCTATTTTAAATGCACTCAGTTAAAAATGTCCAGGCATGAAACCTCCACAGATACACCTGTTAACTACTGTACTTTTGACACTTTTTAAGCCTTTCAAACAGTTATAGAATTTTTTTTTTAATCACTTTAAATGCTATAAATGCTTTCAAACTCACACAGTAGAACTAGGGTGGGAGTGGGAAGGAGAAGCAAGCAATAATATTTTCTAGCCTTACAGTTTCAGTGATTTTCCATGCCATCTGTAAAGACAGTAAGGAAGAAAGGCAAGTATTGGAATTGTAGCCACTCCAAATAAATGCAGCATAGGACAGCTTGCAGAGATGCAGATGCCTGGTTTCTATGTAGCTACATTCTCACCAAACACTTAAACTAGACCAAATGTTCTGGTCATTGAACATAGTGAATTAAATGTAAAAACCCACAGAAGAATGAGAATGGCCTTAAAGGAAGTGAAATACACAGAAAAAAAGGGAAGAATGAACAACCATGGATCCAAGAATTTAAGCTATTATCCTCATGGAAGACTCACATTCCTAATCCAACACAGTAAATGAGGCTTGAAAGCATCCCTGCTGGTTTCCTAGTAGAATACTGAAAGGTAGTCTTCCTTTTCCCTTAATTTACACATTATCTAAGACCTATCCCAGATGATAATGCAAAGTAATATTACATGTTAACAAGAACAAGATCCTTCAGTTTAATTCATGTCAACTTGTGGAAGGAAAATTAGCACTGAAGTGCAATCTCTTTGTGAAGAAAGTTCATTCAGCCCTTTAGCGAGAGCTATTTACAGTTAATCCTGTATTACGTTTTGCCAAATTTTGAGCAAGACATTAATGTTTTAGAAATCTTAAACTATTCCAGTTTCTTGGCAGGGGTAAGGGATAGGGTAAGCAAGCCTTCTAAACAAGAACAAAGAGACAATAATAATTTGTACAATGGAAAGAAAACTAAGCAACTAAAAATAGCACTGTGGAGCTGTCACAAGTGTGCACTCTCCCAACACTCCCTTCCAGCAGCAAAGGGATTATAACATCAGCCTTTTAGCATTATGCTTTGCCACTGCACAGTAAGCTAGTTCAGGGACTGGAGGCAAAGAGCACATGATACTGAATTTAAGATGCATACCCCCACAACCAAGAATTCATCATGGACAGATAAGTTGCAAAGGTTAATCTTAAGGAGAGCCTGTGGTTGCTAAGAAGGGGCTACTCAGGTTAATGTAATAATCAATTTGTTATAGGAGAATTGGACATGACTTTGATTTGGGACAACCTGTGAAAATGGATGGTGACCCCACTTGAGATTTCTCAGCCTATTAGAAGGAAAATCAGTGACAATTCTATAGAGTCAGATTAAGTAGATTATTAAACAGAGAGTTAGAAAACACAGAGAACAGGAAAGACTTTTGTCCTCTCCCAAGCACAGTTAAAGGCTTCAACTGTCAGTGCTGTTTTCTCACACTCGGTATTACTTCGTTATGCTTGTTTGCAACAAACCTCATCTTTTATTCTTCTCCAACTAGTTTGCCAAGCTTAAAAATTAGATTTACTGAACTGCAGTTCCACAAAGTTTTTACAGTTACACTTCGGAGATAGCTCTGATTTAAATCAGCACAATGACACTCTGATTTTAAGTGTCTGAAACTCTTGTGCCTCTGCAGGTATTTTAAACTTTCCACACAGCTGGCAGTGAAATTGTATGGCTCTACTGCACCTCTTCAGTAGCCATAAATTATAGATAGTTGCCTAAAACATGTAAAACTGCGCTACCAAAACATTCCCAGAATATCTGGTTTATTCTTAAAGTCTACTAAATATATCATTTCAAGTTTTCCTGTTTGTCCCCTTTCTCTCCAGTCTGTGGAACAAGAAAAAGTAGGCGACAGAAGAATCCATTACAGGGCTCTGCACCTCAGCTAATGCACCACAGAACTTGCAGAGCTGCTCAAACAGCTCCAGCATGCTTCAGGCCTACAGAGTCTGGATTACTTTCCTCTGGGCTAAACATGGTTTGGGAATTTAGCACTGCACTTTTAAACATGTCACACTGAAGAAAGCAGTTATCTCTAAATAAACTTCTGTAACAAGGGCCACATGATCTGGATGTGCTGGTTCACTGGGAAAGTACCAACAGCCAGGAAGTCTCCCTTCCTTAAGGCCCTGGAGCTCTTCCATGAAACTATGAGAAAAAAATACCTATGAAATAAGCAGGCTGCAAAACTAATCACATAAAATTCAGGGCAAAAAGGTTTCCTCCTCTTTTCACATGCTACTTTCAGCGCTTGGAGACACATGGTGAGATGAGAAAGGGACTGGTCAGAAGGGGGCCTATAGGGATGCTGGAGAGGGACTCTTCATGAGAGACTGTAGGGATAGGACAAGGGGTAATGGGTTAAAACTTAAACAGGCGAAGTTTAGATTGGATATAAGAAGGAAATTCTTTCCTGTTAGGGTGGTGAGGCACTGGAATAGGTTGCCCAGGGAAGTTGTGAATGCTCTGTCCCTGGCAGTGTTCAAGCCCAGGCTGGATGAGGCCTTGGGTGGTATGATTTAGCGTAAGGTGTCCCTGCCCATGGCAGGGGGGTTGGAACTAGATTATCTTAAGGTTCTTTCCAACCCTAACTATTCTATGATTCTATGACTGGGTAACAGACTGATCTGGTGCACAGATTATTATCATTCACAATCTCATGGCTGTGGGCTAGACCCTGCTCTGAAGACAACAGAAATCAATAGCAGAAGACTTCCCAAGGCTGAAGTTACCATAGTCTGAAATCAGACACCTGAGAACCCCTCTGAACAGGCTGAACACACCCAAGGGTGACTGTCCTAGGAGAAAACACGTTTTTCCCTAAGTGATTGCCTATTTAAGTTAGATTAAGCCTGACTGATACTTTTGACACAGTAACATCAACCCCTAACTTGAAGTGGCAGGAAAGAAAACAACTTCACCGTGATTTTGTATACTTGTTTCCGTTTTTTTAACTACATCTTTCAGCTCTTACTTTCAAGGGCACCTTGAGCTTCTCTGCCCAGGGAGACCCCAACTACGCCAAGCCCCGACCAACAGCGCCGGTACGAGCGGAGGGACAGACACCGGCACTGGGACAGCTCCAGAAACGGAACGCGGTTTCCTTCTCCCACAGGAGCTCTTCCATCCCTCATCCCCGTCGACCCCAGCCCAGCCCAGCCTGCCATACCTCATTGCTATACCTCACCGCTTGAGGGCCCCGCCAGGGCCCTCCCGCTCGCAGCGGACCGTCAGTAGCTGCTGCGCCCGCACTCACCCACAGCACATGGAGCCCCCGCGCAGGAAGGGGAATCAGCGAGCACACACTTACCGGCAAGCTCCACGCTCCCGCCGGAAGCGCAATGCTCTTATCTGTCCCCCGCGCTGCGCTACTGGAAGAGAGCAGCTCTCGGGAGTGGGTTCCCTTCCGGACACTACTGGGGAGAGGACTCCGCGCACGCGTGAGGGGCTGCGGCGGGGCGCCGTTGCCATGGCAGCGGGTGCTTCCGGCACGGGCGGCGGCGGTGCAGCCGTGTCCGGGGCGCGGCGGGAAACACTTTCCCGCAGCCTTCAGGCCGCTTTCCTTGCGCGGGAGCAGGCGGTGGGGCGGCTGCTGCCTTGGCGCCCAGCCCGCAGGCATGGCCTCTTTGTCACGATCCTGCTTTGGACTCCCCTCCGGAGCTGCGTGACGAGATCCTCATGGACACGGGAAGCAGCTCCAGCCTCAGCCCGGACTCCTTGGGCAGCCTCACGGCGGACGACGTGCTCATTCACTCCACAGGTGTCCAGAGGGAGAAGCCCGCTGAGGCTGCGACAGCAGCTGGTGGCCGCGTGAGGAAAGTGACTGTCGCTGTCAGGAAGCGGTGTGAAGTGGTTGCTCCGTGCCAGGACACCTGTGCGGCTTTGCCTGACCGCGGACCGCCCTGCGCTCCCGCCTCAGTGTCAGCGTGCAGGGCACCGCGCGGGGTAGTAACCCCAGGACCCCCGGCAGGTGCGTGATTTACGGCGAGCCCGCAGCTTCGGGCCCAGCTAAATTAGCTGTGTAGTGTTTTCAGTCAGGCAGTAGCTTCGTAACTAAGGAATGTTTTTCTTCTGAAAACACTAGTACGCTTTGAAAAGTCGTGTTTATCTGTTTGTTTTGCCAAGCTGTGTTTTGCACGTGAAAAACGAGTTGTGCAGGGTGAGGTGGTCAGTCATCGCTCTGCTAACAGAACTCCAGTCCTGGCTCCAGATTCCTCGTCTTTAATTATTAGGTAACTCTCACCTTTATCATAGAATCATCATAGAGTGGTTTGTGCTGGAAGGGACGTTAGAGATTATCTAGTTCCATTATCGAATGCCATGGGCAGGGACACCTTCCACTAGACCAGGTTGCTCAAAGCACCATCCACCCTGGCCTTGAACATTGCCAGCAATGGTGCAGCCACAGCTTCTCTGAGCAACCTGTTTCAACGTGCTACCACCCAAACAGTGAAGAGCTTCTTCCTTATGTCTGTTAATTTCACAAATATACTGGGCAGGAAGGTTTTAGGCAGCATCAGAGGATGAAACTGTATGTGTTCAAGGATCAAAGTTGAGTTAAAGTTAAGAAGATTGATGCCTTTCTTGTATGTCACAGTTTTTAATGCAGTTTGTAGCTCACTGTTTTAGGACCATTTGTATCTCTTCAATTTTATGCCCGAAGTGTAGTCAGCAAGCAGATTTGTGCCAAACAGAATATTGCTCCTGCTAACAAACAGTCCCAATATTTGGGCCTTCTTAATGTTTTTATGGAATTGTGTGAATTATTTTGTGGTTTTGTACTGGAAGAAATCAAGTGTCTTTTAGATGCTTTTCCTCTGTCTCTCCTTCTTTAAAGATTACTTTTTCTGGAGAGTTTGAGCCAGTAGATGTTCAAGATAGATCTGTACAAGCTTGCCTTTTTAAAGAAGTGTTTATTGAACACTTGAAAGGTAATAAATATTAAATGTTGGAAGTAGGCATTCTGGGAAAGTTATTCAGCTCGTCTTTTTCAGTCTGCAGTTTTTGCAGATTTTATGAAACAATACAAGTTTCAGAGCTGGTCAGTTAAACAACTATTCAGAAGTTTCCCTGTTACCTACTGTTTTCTTGTTAAAGCCATTTTTTCTTTGTAGTTTTGGAAAACAAACAAGCCAGCTCTACTCCTCCTATACCCCGCCAGCTTGACACAAACAACATACACAGTTCAACTGCCTGTACCAGTGAAGCTCACACAGATGAGTAAGCAAATAGGAAAAAACCAAATTGCATCCTTTTCTGCAACTGTTTTAGCAAACTATTTTAGTAGTATTAAGTAAATAATTTTAAGTCTGTTTTTTATAGTATGAGGCAGTAGTAATTACCATGTACTCTTCAAATTCATGACTGACACAATCCATGCTACTTACCTTGATACAGGCAGAGGAAATGTTTAGGTTTGGGTTAGTCAAGGTGTATTGAAAATGAGTAACAAATCATTATGATCACAGTAGAAACTGCTTTTATTTTAGGAGTCTCAAGTACTAAAGGGTATCCAGAACGTCTGCTTTCAGTGGGAAATTCTACGGAGCCCATGTTTTTATCACAAATGGTGAGAAATGGTCAATGTTGCTTCTTGCAGGCCTGAACTAAGAATGTTTTTCTCAAAAAGTTGCAACTTCTGTAAAAGCATCTCAAATCTTTGGCTTAACTTCTGCACCGGAACTGTGCAGCTGCTTTTTCTTTCAG